ACCACACCTGGCTTTCTTTTTCCTTTCCTTTTTCTTTTTAAATTATTATTAACAGTTCTTGCAAGGTCTCATGAGGTGGCTCAGCATCTGTCACCAAACCTGATGGCTTGACCTCAATGCCTGGACCCACATGGTAGAAGGGAAGAAGTGATTTCCATAAGTTGTCTGACCTCCACATGTGCGCCACACACTTAATTTTTTAAAAAGCAAAAACAACAACAACAAAACATGTTGTATTAGTTACATTTCTGTTGTAGTAAAATGCCACTAGTGAGGCAGTTTATAGAGAATGTCTATTTGGACATATGATTCCAGAGGAATTAGAGTCCTTTCTGGTGGGGAAGTGCTGGCAGCTGGAGAAGCAAGCTAAGTTCATGTCTTGAACCACGAGCAGGAAGCCCAGAGTGAACTGGGAGTGGCTGGAGTCTTTGAACTCTCAAAGCCCACCCCTACTGCCATAGTCCTTCCCACAAGGCCACATCTCCTAAGCCTCCTTCCCCGACAGCACCACCAGCTGAGGACAGGTATTCAGGTCCGCAAGGTTGTGGTAGACAGCTTGTTAAAACCAACACACAGGGAGGGAGGGAGAGAGGGAGGAAAAGAGAGAGAGACAGAGAGGAATACAATTTATGCAAAGACAGAAAAGGGCATTTTTAAAAATTACCTAGTAACAGATGTTTTGTATTATTTCATCTTTTGCTAAAAATATGTTCTTTTGCCAGTGAAAATGATAAGCCCTAGAAGGCAGTTTTAGTCTTACCAATTGACACAAAACACAACTGTCACCTGAAAGGAAATAAAAATTTGTTTTTAGGATCATGAGTGGCCATGGTGCAGGAACACAATTCGTATTACCCTCTGTTTGATCCTGGAAGATGTTTTGTGAACTTTTATAGTCACCCCGATACATTGAAAACATCATTTAGCAGGGGGCATTCCACTATAGGTTTCAGATGCTGTCTCATGATACTCTTAGTTTTGGGGTTGGTGGATAATAATGAGACACTAAATTAATACATTCCAAGGCTTAAACTTTAATAGCTGAAAGAAATTTAGGTCAAATAGAAGTGCGCAGTAAGCAGCCTACCAGCACTTGGTCTGCAGAAGCAGGAAGGTCAGGAGCTACAGGGTAAGTTCGAGGCCAGCCTGGTCTACAGAGTGAGTTCCAAGACAGCAAGGGCTAAAGAGGGAGACCCCGTCTCGGGGGAGGGGGGGAGGAAAAGAAGTTAAGGCCTAGTTCACTGTGCAGAAGTGGTTAACATTAAAGCTGAATAATTATCTATAACTGAATAATTTTAAATCCATATGATATGTATCTGTTGTAGCAAATAAAAAAATGAGTTTGGCTATATAATGTTTATTATTAACCCTAAGATTATCACATCAATATTATTTAACTTGCTATCACAAATAATAAGATACAGACACATTAGATTTATAATTGCCATATTTATGTTGGGGCGGGCAGATATTTCACTGTCTCAGTAACTTCACCTTCCTCTCCCTGCCCCTATCCAATGCCATCCACGTTAATCCTTCTCATCTGGGCTACCTTCTATCTACAGTCCCTAGATACTTGCTTGTAGTCTTCACCTGGACCATTAATGGAGTCCTTCCTCCTGGAAGCCCCACATGGTTTCTTCTCCATGCTAACCCATCGTGGTGTCCTCTTTATTCAGAACTCTCTTCTGTCTGTCTGTTTCCCGTGATTCTCCTTTAACCCCAAGCCTAGGAACCTTAGCCACTCCTACTCCGTTCTGCCCTGCCAGGTATAAGCTGTTTAATCAACCAATCAGGTATAATGACTTAGGCAGGTTTTCACAAGGATAGGTTTATACAACAAGGGTAGGTTTACCTAAGAATGTGCTCCTCTGAGCAGGGACAAGATTTTGGGGGCCAGGAATTAACATTAGAATACATGACACCAGACCAACTTCCAACATGTATCTAATAATCAATGATATTAAATTCACATGGTACAATGTTATGTGTATTTTAAGATGTTCTCATATGGCTTAGGCTGTCCTCAAGCTTGCTTTTTAACCAAGAATGATCTTGAATTTCTGATCCTCCAGCTGCTCCCTTCCAAATGCTAGGATTACAGGCATGGGTCATCATACCCAGCCTGGGAATTTGTAGGGCTCAAACCCAGAGCTTCTTGCATTCTCTGCAAGCTCAGTTGGGCGTTAGTCTGATGCTTTGTTTTCTAATGCTAATTACTGGCCTCCAAGATTTGGTTGCCACCCACAGTGTAACTAGGCAAAAGAGAAGTAGGCAGGGTTTAGGCTCCTAGGCTCTCGGAGGGAGCAGGGGACCCGGAGGAAGAGAGAGGAAGTAAAAGATGTAGAAACTGGAGAGGAAACAGGAGAGAAGTTGCCATAGGACAGCATGAGGGTGGCATGATGGAACAGAAGCAGCCCAAACAACATATTTGGCAACTAATGTTGGGGTACATGTAACTGCAAAATAACAAAAAAGCTTAGAGGGTTGATACCTGCCCAGTTACTGTGTTTTGAACCATTTATAATTCTAAAAGGTCTCTGTCTTGATTATTTGGGAACTAGCTGGGGTAAGGAAGCCCTCTAGAGTCTAATATCAATTCAACAACAAAGCACTTTACCTAAATTGAGCTACATCTCCATTTTACATACGTATGTATGTATGTAGTTTTTTGATACAGAGTCTCACTGAGTAACCCAGAATAGATTTGACTTGCTATGTCCATAAGCCAGGCTGACCTTGAATTTATGGTAGTCCTTTTGTATCTACCTCTCAAGTGTCACTGTGCTTGACATATTTATTAAATAAAAAATACTTTATTTAATAATATGGGGGGTGGGGCTGGAGAGATGGCTCAGTGGTTAAGAGCACTGGCTGCTCTTCCAAAGGACCAAGGTTCAATTCCCAACACCCACATGGCAGCTCACAATTCTCTGTAACTCCAATTCTAGGGATCTGACGCCTTCGCACTAATGCTCATAAAATAAAATTAAATAAATTATTAAAAAATAATAATAATATGGGGTAAAGTTGGAAAAGGGAAAAACGTAGAATTATATTTGTCAATGCAAAATACAACTCTCAATCTAAAGGAAAAAAGAGAATTTATTTTGAGACAAATAAGAGTTCCTCATGGCTTGAGAACACAGATTCAAGTTGTTCCAATTGATATGTCCCCCATGTGGAAGTGGTTGCATGGATTCTTGTAGTCACAGAACAAAGGTAGTCATCAGTCATCCATTCATTCCTTCCTGAGAACATCAGGCACACAGGTTACAACAATTGAGAAAAACTGCCGAAGGTCATTGTTGCTGACTGACGATACTCTTAGCTTTTGACTTAGTGAGAGCTAGTGGTCTGCTAAGTTGGTGTATTCCAAAAGGGATGTTCAGCCAGGTACAGAAGTTGATGATAAATGACTATTAGAGGCACTAAAGATAGTTTAAGATCATGTTGGCTCTCCATCTGCAACATTCTAACTCACCACTGTCATGCGATTCTGAAGTTCAAATCAGTCTACAGAATGTAGGTGTGGTCTGTTTCAGGGAACTTGGTTGGTGCATTGTGTAATAATCCAGGTTGAATAGTGTTTTGTGTGTGTATATTGGGTTCTGAAGAGCTAACTCATTGTTATCCTAGGTCACATAAATCAGGCTCTACTGCAGTTTGTATACTTAATTTCAAATAAAGCTTTTGTTTTCCCTTTTCTCAGGGATAATCTTTGTTTGCTTGCTTTTGGGGAGAGGAGTGGTTGAGACAGGGTTTCTCTGTGTAACAGAGCCCTGGCTGTCCTAGACTCAAATTTTTTATATATACCAGACTGGCCTTGAACTCACAGACATCCACCTGCCTCTGCCTCCCAGAGTACTGGATTAAAGGGGTAAAGGCATGTACCACTATGCCCATCTTTGCTTGCTTTTAAGAAACTGTCTCATTTGTTGGCCCTTGCTGGCCTCTGCTAAGATCCTCCTACCTCTACCTCCCAAGTGCTATAATTAAAGATTGATTTGTGCATGAGTGTTATACAGTGTGTGTTTGAAGGCCAGGAATGTGCATTAATTATTTCTTGTGTTCCTGTTCATATGAGGCAGGGTGTCTTCCTGAACTTGGGGCATGCATATTTTCGGCTAGACTGAAGGCTAGTAAGCCCTAAGAATCTTTCCATTCCTAATTCCCTCAGAGCTGGGTTACAGGTATATATGGTTTGCCCAGCTTGTTATGTTGATGGGATTCAAACTTCAGTTGTTACAGTTGCACAGCAAACACTCCTAACCAAGGCACTGTCTCTCCAGCTCCCAAAATGCTTACTATGTAGGACAAAAGCTTTTCATTTTTCTGATGGAAAGAAATTGTCAGTTGCCAGGTTAATCCTTCTAAATTGCTGTTCACTTACTCGAATCTACATTATGACATCATATCAGGATACTGGTGGTTTAAGATACTAGAATGGAAATAAATCATAGGTACTAATGATAATTTAGATAATTGGTGTAAAAGCTGTTCATAGCACTTCCTTCTCATGTTAGCTAGCAACATCTTATCTACCTACCTGCCTGCCTACCTACCTTCCTTTCTACCTGCCTGCCTACCTACCTTCCTTTCTACCTGCCTGCCTACCTACCTACTTACATACCTGCCTGCCTACCTACCTGCCTGCCTGTCCTATGGGTCTTTAACCTGCATGTGTGTGTATGCACCATGCGTGTGCCTGATGCCCAGGGAGGCCAGAAGAGGGCATTGGATCCCCTGGAAGTAGAGATACAGATGGTTGTGGGCTGCCAGTGGGTGCTGGGAATCAAACCCAGGTCCTCTGGAAGAGCAGGCAGTGCTCTTAACCACTGAGCCATCTCCATCTCACTATATAGCCCTAGCTGGCCTGGAATTCACTCTGTAGACCAGGCTAGCTTCAGGCTCAGAGAGATCCTCCTGCTTCTGCCTCCCTATTGCTGGGATTAAAGGCATGAATACTTAATTTTATTTTCTTGTTACCAACTCTACAGATTATAAGCACACCACAGAGAATTGCCAATTCAGGAAGTGTTCTGATTGGGAGTCCATATACCCCTGCACCAGCAATGGTCACTCAGACTCACATAGCTGAGGCTACCGGCTGGGTTCCCAGGTAAGAGTGTCAGAAATTACTATTTCTAAGCCTCCACCCCATTACTGTCTTGCTGTGGTGTTGTCTACTTCCTATCACTTTTTTTTTCACATTTTACATTTATTTATTTGCGAATGTGCACACATACACACTGTGAGCATGCGTAGAGGTTAGAGAACTTTGGGTGTCAGTTCTCTTTCTACTGTATGAGTGCTAGAGATCAAACTTAGTTTGCCAGGCTCTATCTGTAATCTCACCAGCCCAAAGATTTTTAATTATGTGTATGTGTATGTGGGGGTGGAGTATGTGACCATGGGTGCCGGTGCCTGTTGAGTACAGGCAAGAGCATTGGCCCCCTGGAGCTGGGGTTACAGGCAGTTGTGGTCCACCGAGGTAGATAGAGTAAACTAAGGAACCATGGTCCCCAGAAGAGCAGCATGTGCTCTTGACTGCAGAGCTGTCTCCAGAACTTCTTTTTTTCAAGTTTTTTCGTGTGTGTGTGTGTGTGTGTGTGTGTGTGTGTGTGTGATGTATGTGTTCACGTTTGTGTGGACATACGTATTTGTGAATGAACATGTGTATGCGTGTATACATATGGAGGCCAAGGTGTCTACCTTGATCACTCTCCATTTTATTTACTTAGGGGAGGTCTCTTGCTGAAGCCAGACCTTGCTGATTTGGCTAGTCTACTAGGCCAGCTTGCCCTAGTAATCCCCTACATTTGCCTGCTGAGTAAAGCTGGGGTTATAGACAGGTCACCCCAGACCCTAGCTTTATGTGTGCCGGGGTGTGGTCCTTGGGTTTGCATGGCAAGTGAGCCTTTCCCCAGCCCTGTTTTCTCTTGTTTTGTTAATCTGTTTTTTTTTTTTTTTTTTTTTTTCCCCCGGGGGGGGGGGGGGGGGGGGAGGTGGAGTTACTTACTTTGTTTTGGGAGGTTTTGAGATGGGTTCTCGTTGAAGTTTAGGCTGGCCTCCAGCTCTCTAAGTCAGCTAAATTATCATCTTGAACTCCTGATCAGACTTCCCCCACCTCCTGAGTGCTGGGATTAGATTGCTTTGAGTGTGGTAGTCTTGTTGCTGTTGTTAGAGACAGAGTCTTGGGATATAACTCTGGCTGACCTGTACTGGATACATGGTCCTGATTGGCCTTGAACTCTTAGTGATCCTTTTGCCTCCACCTTTTGAATATTGAGATTACTGTTATTTGCTACCATATCCAACTATTTTAGATCTTTACAAACTAGTATGTTGCTTTAAAGTCACCAATTATGATTGGACTCTGTATGTAGCCCAGGCTTGCCTCCAACATGGAGTTGCCCATATGCAGGTACCACTATGTCCAGTGAGTACAGCTATATTTAAGCTGAGAAAAACAATTTAACAACTTCTGCTTTTTTAAAACTCGAAAATAGTACTACTTTTTATGATCATAATACTTAGCTACTTTGGAGATATAAAAGTAATTTTTATTGTTTTAACACAAACGGAATTATGTTAAATGTTGGCTTTACTCATGATTTTTCTCTTTGAGTTTCTTAAAAATCAGAAGAGAAACTAGAAAAAGAGGACAAATATATTAATATTTTCATGAAAACTTTCCTTCATAGCTGGGCACAGTGGCACATGCCTGTAATCCCAGCACAGTGGCACATGCCTGTAATCCCAGGAGGCAGAGGCAGGCAGATCTCTGTGAGTTCAAGGCCAGCCTGGTCTACAAAGCGAGTTCAGGGCAGCCAAGGCTACACAGAAAAACCCTGTCTCAAAACAATAACAACAAAAAAATCAAAACAGAAACAAAAAACTTCCCTTTACTTTAAAAAAAAAAAAAAAAAAAACAACCAAATACTAGGCAATGAGATAGCTATTCATTCTTACTGTTTTCCCACCATTACTGTCAAAGCCTTTGTGCTTCATCTTTGTCTATAAGACAAAGCTTTTTGCTAGCCTTTCTCCTCTGTTAATTCAGCACCCCATCTTCTTTAAAAGATAATGAAGCCAAGTGGTGGTGCTTTACTGTAATTTCAGTACTTGAAAGGCTGAGGCAAGATGACCACTGAGAGTTCCAGGCCAGCCTGGGTGACATAGTAAAACCTTGTCTATTGGGGATGAGGGGAGGGGATAAGCATGCAAGAAAGAAAAGGAAGATCTGGAGCCAGGCTAAGTAAATAGTAAAGAATACGTTCTTATAAAGGAACAGAGTTTGGTTCCCAGCACCCACACCGGGTACCTCATAGCCAGCCTCCTAACTATAGCTCCAAGACATCTGACACCTTCTAGCTTCTGTGGACACCACATACATGTCACATATACAAACATAGGCATGTACACATAAATAAAAATTTAAGGAAGAAAGGAAAATATTAAAATAATATTCCCAACCTTATTTTATCACTTTTGAAGTTTTATTATTTGAGGAGTTATATACCTGGTGTCCTGGCCTATGTGACTGTGGAGTAAACAAACAGTAAATCTTTATTAAGAATGACCTTGCTTCAAGAAATGAAGAACAGTCCTGTCGAGTGCTTATACCATATACAAATTGAGACATACATTGTGATGGTATAAAGGCAACAGAGTTTCCTAAAATCTTAACTGTTTTGCTCCCCAAGTATTCATTGAACTTACTCCACTTTAAGGATTATTATATCGCCCTGTCTTTGACACACTGTAAATACTGGGGTTTTATTGTGTTCGTTAAGTGTAGAGTCAGACGGTTTATAATAAGCTATTTAAGGAATTAAGTTCTGTTTATGTGTTGCACTTAAGCTATCTTTTTTGTCTTTTTAGTGATAGAAAACGAGCTAGAGAATTTGTAGACTCTGATTTTTCAGAAAGGTGAGTATAAATGTATTTTGTTTCATATTCCTCTATGAAAAGAGGGGGGTTTCCTTTGCATAACTTTATTTAGTTTCTAGCATCATTTCATTCTGCATTGAGGTTTTCAATTCACTTATTGCACAGTTTCAAGAGATAACCTGTGACATTAGTCTCTTAGGCCTGTCCCTTCTTTTTGGGGAAAGAAAGTGTTCTTCCAAAGTGAGTACTCCATAGTACTCTAATTTGCCCAAACTTTAGAACAAGTTGTTGTTGTTTTCATTTTTTAAATAATTCTACATTATAGTAAACACTTGTTTCTCTAGATAGTTTTGGGGGCATGCGATCATCTTTTCTTAGAATATTAGTAGTACGGTGGTTCTCCTTCCTGATTGTATATCAGAAGCACTGTGGCCTCTCTTAAACAAGTATGAATGTCTCTAAGTCAGGTATTACTAGCGTTAAGAACTGTCAGTTTAGAAGCTAGGAGTATAGCTCAGAGGTAGGGCACTTGTGTACCATTCATTAGTCCTAGTTTTAGTCCCAGTAATAGGAGAAAAAGAAAAGAACTGTTGTCTTAGAGCCATCATGTTAGCCTAGGTTCAGAATGTCTAGCAGCCCACTATGCTAGGTGCCGTCCTTCTATTACACTATATTAAAATGTCCAGCATCAGCAGGGGGAGGATCCATTATGATCCTTTATATAAAGAAAAATATATAAGCCATCAATAACGGCCTAGAGCCATTATATGAGCCTAAGTTCAGAATGTCATACTGTAGTAGGTACCATATTAGTATTACGCTGTATTAGAATGAAAGTTGTCATTTCAGAGTCCATTGGCCTCTATAAGATGGTTTTTCTAACACCCTCAGCTCACAGGGAACTGTAAACAGCCTGGGCTAATGTGAGACCCTGTCCTCAATGGACAGAACAAAATAATAGAACTCTTGTTCCAGCAACCAACAGAAATAGTTAATAAACTTACTTAAAAGTACTCATCAGTATTTGCCATTAAAAACAAAATAAAACAATGAAAACTGCAATGTAATACTGCTGTATATCTACCAAAAAGCTACTGGGGGGCAGGGAGGACACTTTTGCAAGGATATGAAGCCCTTAGAATGTTCCTGTGCTACTGAGGGCAAAATAAATTATCAGAATTTTTGGAAGTTGCCATTATCTGTAAAACTGAACATAGATAAACCCTGATTTATCGGTGTTCTAAGTATGTTCTAAACAGGAATTCATACACATACCCATTGTCTTAGTTAGGGTTTTATTGCTGTGAAGAGACACCATGAACTAAGGCAGCCCTTATGAAAGAAAACATTTAATTGGGGCTGGCTTGTAGTTTCAGAGGTTTAGTTTATTACCATCATGGCAGAAAGCATCATAGCATCCAAGCAGACATGGTGCTGGAGAAGTAGCTGAGAATTCTCTATCTTGATCCAAAAGCAGCAAAGGAGACTGTGTACCACACTGGTGTAGCTTAAGCATAGGAGACCTCAAAGCCTTACAGTGACACAAAGCCCCACCTCCTAACAGTGCCGCCCCCTTCGGGCCAAGCATTCAGACAGATAAGTCCTGTCTCCTTTAAACCACCACAGCAACAAGAAAACCTTTCAAAAGTCTCCTTAGATTTGTTTATTTTTGTGCATATATATGACTATTTTGCCGGGATACGAGTGTATGTTCCACATGCGTTCAGTCCCGAGAAGCTGGTGCTGGAGTTACCGGGGGAGGGGGGGTGAGCCACCACGCAGATGCTAGACATCGAACCAAGTCCTCAAGAGCAACAAGGGCCCTTCACTACTGACCCATCTCTCTAGCCACACACACACTCCTACTTACTGAAGTGAGATGGTTTTTTTTTTTTTTTTTTTTTTGGGGGGGGGGGGGGTCAGTGTTTTGTTGTTTTTTGTTTGTTTGGGGTTTTTTTTCTGTTTTGAGCTTCACAAGTATAGCTATGCATCACCATACTTGGCAGTTAAAGAGGGTTTGTTTTTAAGATTATTTGATTATTTGTGTGTGTGTGTGTGTGTGTGTGTGTGTGTGTGTGTGTGTGTGTGTCACATACATGTGGATGCCCTCAGAGGTCATTGTATTTCCTGGAGCTGAAGTTACAGGTGATTGTGAGCTGCCTGGTGTGGACGCTAGAAACCAAACTCTGTTTTTAACTGCTGGGTCATCTCTTTAGCCCTAACATTTAAAAAATTACATACATTTATTTATTTATCTACCTACCTACCTACCTACCTACCTACCTACCAGCCATCCATATCTACCATCTATTTATAGCTATCTGTAATCATTGTTTATATGTATCTGTCATCTATGTATTGATCTATATCTATCATCTGTCTGTATCTATCTATCTATCTATCTATCTATCTATCTATCTATCTATCATGTGTTCATCATTGTTGCACATGCCCCACTGATGAGTATGTAGATCAGAGGACAATTTAATGGAATCAGCTCTTTGCTTCCTCTATGGGTTCCGCATCTAACTTGGGTCATTAACTTGGAGGCAAGCACCCTTATCCTTTGAGCCACCTCACCAACCCCTCAAGAGTGTAGTTTTACTACTTTTTTCCTTTCAAGTTTTGCAATTCTGTCTGTTCCTCTTCCCTTCCACTGACCCAGTTTTAGATCATCACCTCAGCTGACTTTTAGCTGATTTTTCTTTCACTTCCTAGTCCCTATAAATGCACTTTCCACTTTGTCACCGAATTTCTGCCTGTGTCAGTATGTCATTGTGCAATTCAAATTACTTAGTGGTTTCAGTAGTGGCTGTGAGATACAGTGCCTGTACTGTGGGGAGGCACTTGTGAGCATTTCCTAACTGTATTAGTCTAATCAGTCTAATTCTCCAAAGGACCAGAACTACAAAACGCTAATAGAACACATGCCCGTGTGCGCGCGCGCGCACACACACACACACACACAATGAAAAGCAATTTAGAGTGGTTTACAGGGTGTGGTCTGGTAGTCCAACACTGCCTGTTTCATAATAGAAAAAGCCAAGAGGGCAGTTGCTATTCAGTCCATGAGGCTGGGTGTCTCAGCATTTCTAATCTGGTCCTGGAGTCCTGGAGCTTCCTAGAGAGCTACTGATCTTTGGTGTCTGTTGAAATCCTGAAGAGATTGTATTCTAAAACTATTGAAGGAATGCCTCAGCAACAGGACAAATGAGCGTGCCAGTGAGAGCAAGGACAGCAGGCAAAAACAAAGTTTCCTTCTCCCCTTCCTTTTATCCGGGCTGCCACCAGAAGGTGTGGCTGAGAATTAAGGTAGATCTTCTTGCTAAAGTAATCTGATAAAGAAAATGTGAAGGCAGATGCAGCTGGCTCTCCATGAGTTTGAGGCTAGCCTTCTCTATGTAGTGAGTTCCAGGCTAGCCAGAAAACATAGCAAGACTCTGTCTCAAAAAATAAAAATTGAAGAAAGAAACCTAGAAGTTTGGGTTTTAGTTGGTTTTAGGTATAATTAAGTTGACAACCACAATAGGAATGTAGGAAAAAGAAAGATCTCCTTTTCTTACCTCTTTCTTTTGAAAGAGCATGTTTAGTGCTTTTTTATTTGTATATAACGTATATATGTATATAACATTTTATTTGTATATAACATAAAACACGATTGTAAATAATTTATTCGTAACTCAGATTGTGCTGATAAGCATAATGAAACAAGTCAGATTTGTATGCTTGCATTTGAGGCAGCCTGGTCTTCAGCAAGTTTGTCGCTGCTCGCCTTGCCTTCTGTGTTGGCTGACCCCACCATACTTGCTGGTCTTTTATCTGTTTTCTCCGTCCTATACTTGATGCTGCTTTTCTGACCGAAGCTCTCCTCACTTCCTTCCTGTGGCCTTTCTCAATGTAAATGACTCCCCACAAGCCATCTTCCTGTAGATTAGAATGGCTGTCCATCTTCTCATTTCCCCAGAACACTGAGGAACTGTGGCCTGCCACTTCATCTTTGGAATATCTGCCATCATGGGTCTTATTACCATGCTCTAAGACTCATTGAGAGAAAAACTTCACCTGGATTTTTATACTTCTGATCCTTAAACCAGTTCTTACATATATTTGATGCTCAGATATTATTAGAACTAAAACTGATCCCTCAAATTTTAATGGGTAAGAACTGAGATAGTCAAAGAAAAGATAAATATTTATGAATGCATTATCTCTAGAGGGCAGAGTTATTATAGCTTTCCACAGATTTATTTCCAGTATCTATTAGTGGCTGGCATAGAACAGTAATTACTTTTTTTTAATTGTCTACTTGCTTACTAAATGAATGACATTACAGAAGAGCATTCTATATATTGTTAAGCTCCTAATGTAAGAATTAAATTTGAAGACATTTTCTCTTCAGTTTAATTTTTCTTCATTTGAAACAAACTAAATGATTGTCTCCTGGTTTTATTTTTTAAATAGTTTTATAGAGGAGATCTCTTTAAGTATAATGAAATATTTTTTCCATAAATCTTTTTTCTCTTCTAGTAAACGAAGCAAAAAAGGAGATAAAAATGGGAAAGGCTTGAGACATTTTTCAATGAAAGTGTGTGAGAAGGTTCAACGAAAAGGCACGACATCATACAATGAAGTAGCTGATGAGCTAGTGTCTGAGTTTACCAATTCAAGTAACCACTTGGCAGCTGATTCGGTAGGTGGATTGTGAATTTCACATATATGTGATACCTGGATTCAGTTTATGTGATACCTGGATTCAGTTTACCTATTGGTCTGTGTCATAGACCTGGGGAATCAGGGAGGCTTGGGAATCCTTTGACAGTTTCCTATTTATTATTTTATGTTTGTGTGTGGGCACATGCATGCCATGACATATATGCAGAGGTCAAAGGACAGTGTGTGGAGACAGTTCCCTCCTTTCACTGTCACCTGGGCTCTGTTGGTCACACTTGGGTCACAGGCTCATGTGGGAAATGTTTTACCCACCTGCTACATGCATAGACTGCAAACAGCTGGGCAACACTGGTCCATGAACCATATCGTGAGAAGCTCAGTTTTCCGTAGACCTTGAGATGTGCATCTTGGATGTGCATGTACATATGTATGTTGTCTGTGTTGTATACATGTGTGTGGAGGCTCATGCAT